CTGCCTGGCAGCCGTCGATTGGTGGGCGGATCGGACGGATCAGAGGGGGCACGGGATGACAAAAGTAAACGGCTGGCAGAATGGTCAGCGATCTGGAAACGTGGACGGTCATGTGAACGGCCATGCGATTGGGAAAGTAAACGGGCAGGTGAATGGTCGTCTGAATGGCGATGTGAACGGAAAAGTAAACGGCCAGCTGAATGGCTACGCGAACGGCCAGGCGAACGGCCAGGTGAACGGGGGGTCAACGGCCCGGTCAATGGCCAGGTCAATGGCCAGGTCAGTGGCACGGTCAACGGCCAAGTTAACGGTCAGGTCAACGGCCAAGCCAATGGCGATGTCCACGCCCAAGTCAACGGCAAGCCCAACGGCCACGTCAACGGCCAAGTCAACGGCGAAGTCAACGGCCAGGGACCTACGATGGGGCAGTACGAGTACCCGTTTCCGGACGTGATGTCATGGGCGTGGGACGGAGACAGCAGCGCCTGGAGCCACTTCGAGAACGAAAACGCTCCGTCCGGCCAGCATCGCCTGAGCGACGATGGGAACGGAAATGTTGATGCGCTCGAGACAAAGCATGGTGAGTCCGGCGCCGGCGGGCGCGGAGCGGCGGCTGCTGCTGCTGCTGCTGCTGCTGCTACGGAAGCGGGGAATGCGGAAGGGGGCGCTTGAGGTTGCGCGCGCGGTTGCGCTGCGGGCTGTAGCGCGGATGGTGGCGGTACTGGCGGTGTTGCGGTCCGCGTTGCCGTATGGCAGCTGGTGGCGCATGGAGGGGAACGCGGAGAAGAACATGGGGTACGAGGCGGCGGCCGGTGAGGGAAGGGGGAAGGCGGAGCGGGGGCGGCGGAAGCTGAGGGTGTGGGGAGCCTGGGGGATGCTGGTCGCAAGCTGTGGCGATTCTGTGCTCCGGATAAGGGACTGGTGGTGGTGGCGTTCGTCTTTTTGTCGCTTGCCGCGGTGAGTGGCTGTGGTTGGAACGATAAGGGATGCGTGGCACGGTATGAGAATTCACATTTGAGAAAATTTCAAAAGGTTTCGGGCATGGGGTTCAGGACAACGGTCGACTGCACGATGATCGTTTGCTAGTTCTCGCGTGAAACAGTAGCAGTTTCATGTGTATTTCCGTTTGACTCGCGTCGCCCACACGACTGTCCGCCCGTGCCACGTGGCAGATATCGGAGGTGACGATCCCGCATCTGCTGGCGTCGACCATCTTCGCGGCGTCTAACAACATGGGCGCGCAGTTCGCGCACAACGCCAAGCTGCTCGTCGCGCTCACGCTCGCCTGCGGGGCCTTCAGGTGCGTGCGTGCGTGGGTGGGTGGGTGGACTGTGCAGGCTGTACCGAGCACCGATGCGTTCTCATGCACTTGTATGCAATCGAATTGGAAGCTGACGCATGCTTGTTCTGTTTCACAGTTTCCCGGCATGTACGTGGTGTTGCACATGCTCACTCACCTCACTCCCTCCGTTCCTCCCTCGTTCTGCCCCTCATGATCCCCCCTACCCTATCCTCTCTGTTACATCTTTCCTCGCTCCGCGCGCAGTGGGCTGCGCTCCTTCTGCTTCACGGTGCTCAACATGCGCATGGTGTGCCGCATGCGAGAGGCACTCTTTTCTACCATCATGCACCAGGTATGCCTGTCGTCCCCACCATTGCATGCGCCACCTCTTACCCCCGCCTCTATCCACCAGCCTCCCTTCTCTCTCCCCCCTTCCGCACGCGCACACCCTCAGGACGTGAATCCCTTTGACGTAAGACGTATCGCCCTTCCCCCTCACCTCCCCTTCCTTTCCCCCCCTTCCCTTCTCCCTCCCGCTCCCCTTCTTCTCCCCCACCCCTTCCCTCTCCTGCCCTCCATCTTCCCCTCCCTCACCCCTTCCCCCACCACGCTTTCCTCACAGGACGTGAGTTTCTTTGACAAGGAATCAGTGGGCGACCTCACTTCACGTTTGGGCGGCGGACTGCCAGCAGGTGGCGCAGAGCACAGCGGGGGACGTCAACGTCACAGGCCTTCACTGGGTGCCGTATGCGTGCGTACCTCTCCCCACGGTTCCCTACCCCACCCTCCCCTCCGCGCCCGTCCCTCTCCTTCAGGACGTGAGTTTCTTTGACAAGGAGTCGGTGGGCGACCTCACTTCACGCTTAGGCGCGGACTGCCAGCAGGTGGCGCAGAGCACAGCGGGGGACGTCAACGTGATGCTGCGCAACGCACTGCAGGGGGCGGGCGCCATGTTCTTCTTGCTGCGCCTCTCCTGGCGCATGGCGCTCATCTCCGCGGGCCTCTGCGCCCTCATGTGGTGCTGCCTCGTCGCCTATGGCAGGGTACCGTGGGCTGGCAGGTACCGTGGGCTGGCAGGTACCGTGGGCTGCCAAGTACGGTGGGTTGGCAGGTGGGGTTGGTTGCCTTGTCGCGTATTGCAGGCATGGTTGCTGGCGTGGGGCAGGTATGGGTGCTGCATGGGCGGGCGCCATGCTGGTTGACAGAGTTTGGCGTTGGCTGGTTGGCTGGTTGGCTGGTTGGCTGGTTGGCTGGTTGGCTGGTTGGCTGGTTGGCTGGTTGGCTGGTTGGCGGGTTGGCTGGTTGGCTGGTTGATGGGTTGATGCGTGACAATTGTGATAAGACAACATGCTACTTTCTTGCTTGTACTCTGCCTCCTTCGCTGACAATGGAATGGCTGTGTGTGCGTGTTGTGTGTATTGATGTGTGTCCTCAGGTTCCAGAGAGAGAGTGCCCGCCTCATCCAAGACACTGTTGCATCCGCCAATGAGGTGAGAGCAAGGCTTCAGCACTGCTCCACTGCACTGCTCCACTGCACTGCTCCACTGCACTGCTCCACTGCACTGCTCCACTGCACTGCTCCACTGCACTGCTCCACTGCACTGCTATACCGTCTCCCTGCCTTACCACGTTGCCCTGCCTAACCCCTGCCTCAACTCCTCGACCTGCCTTACTTCCTCGCCCTGCCTAACCTCCTCGCCCTGCCTTAACCTCCTCGCCCTGCCTTACCTCCTCGCCCTGCCTTACCTCCTCGCCCTGCCTACTCCTCGCCCTGCCTTACCTCCTCGCCCTGCCTAACCTCCTCGCCCTGCCTAACCCTCCTCGCCCCGCCTAACCTCCTCGCCCTGCCTAACTTCCTCGCCCTGCCTTACCTCCTCGCCCTGCCTAACTTCCTCGCCCTGCCTTACCTCCTCGCCCCATCATTGTTGTTGCAGGTGGCAGAGGAGACCATTTCACTGGCTCGTGTGGTCCGCACTTTTGGCACGGAGCAGCAGGAAGTCAACAGGTGGGTGCTTCTAGGTGCTGATGGGTGCTGTTGGGTGCTTCTGGGCGCTGCTAGGTTCTGCTGAGTACTAGGTGCTGCAGGTTGCTGCTGGTTGCTTCAAGTGTGGCGATAAGTAAAACAGAAACAAGGGCCATATGCGCGTTTTTTATTTGACTAAAAGAACGTTTTTCTTTTACCCTTTCCTCCTCCCGTCCCACCAGGTACAAGGTGCCACTGCAGCGCCTGCAGCATGTGGGCCTCAGGCGCTCTGTGGCGTATGGCATGTGGAATTTCGGTGGCAACACCATCTACAATGCCACTCAGGTATGGGTCATGCTGTGCCCTGTCGTACAATACGTGCTGCATTGAGCAAAAGACTGGCCCATACAGGTCTCGAACCTGTGACCTTTCGCGTTATTAGCACGACGCGCAAACCAGCTGAGCTAATAGGCCATATCTGCACTGTGGCCAACCATCCCGTGGCTGCCATGCCGTGCCCCTGCCATGTCATGCCATGCCCTGCCATGTCATGCCATGCCATGCACCCTGCCATATCATGTGTCTGATCCTCCTTCCCTTTCTTTCTCCCAGAAGTGTGCAGCCCATGTCCATGCCCCTTTGGAGTGCGCACAGCCCTCCAGGTGCTCGCACTGACCACTGACCCCTCCGTCCCCACCTCTTTCCTTCACCCCCGTCTCCCCTCCTTTCCCAACCCCCTGTCCCCTCCTGCCACCAGGTCCTCGCTATAATCATGGGAGGCAGTGCAGTGATGTCGGGCGCCATCACAGCAGAGCAGCTCACGCAGTTTATTCTGTACGCCGAGTGGGTCGTGCACGCTACCTGGTGGGTGGGCGACCACTGGGCGTCCCTCATGGACTCCCTGGGCGCCTGCAGCCGCGTCTTCCAACTGCTGGACCTGCCATCCTCACCACAGCTCGCGAAGACACAAGGTGGGTTGGTCACTTACTGGTCGTCCCTTAGGACTCCCCTAGGCCTCATGTGCACGCCACCTGGAGGGTGGGCGACCACTGGGCGTCCCCTCATGGACTCCCTGGGCGCCTGCAGCCGCGTCTTTCAACTCCTGGACCTGCCATCCTCGCCACAGCTCGCACAAACCAAAGGTGAGCTCGCACAGGCCTAAGGTTAGGACACGTATCAGGTCACACGGCTGGGTTTCATGTGCACACCACGCCACGCCACTCCACCTGGAGGGTGGGCGACCACAGGGCGTCTCTCATGGACTCCCTGGGCGCCTGCAGCCGCGTGTATCGGCTCTTAGACCTGCCGCACTCGCCACAGCTTGCAAAGGCGAGGTTAGGTCACGTATCACATGCCTAGCCTTACATGCATGCCACATGCCACATGGTGGGTGGGTTGGGCACTTACTGAGCGGCCCTTAGGACTCCATGTCCTGCCCATGCCATGGTCCCATCCCATATCCATAGCCCATGCAAACCCTTGTGCCTGATGCCTCCATGCGTTCACGCCTTGACTTGACGCCACAAGCTCATGTCTGTGTGCGCTGATCCCATCCCCTCCCCCTCCCTCCCCCCGCCCCCCCCGCCCACCGTGCGTGCTGCCAGGTTTACAGATGCCATGGCTGCAAGGCAAGATAGAGTTCCGAGATGTGTCCTTCCAATACCCAACCCGCCCTGAGGTGCGTGCTTTTCTTGAGCTTGCCTGCTTGGAGCCAACTTCATGGTTGCTTGGCGTGTCCTTCAAATGGCACGTCATAGATTAGCCTTGATCATTTTTTAAAGCTTCACAAAAGCGTCTACCAGGCATACGGCATGTGATGGGCAGAAAGGACCATTGTGTTTACTTCACACTCCTCTGGCACCTCCTGAACGCCCCTGAGCTGGCTTGATCTGTGAGAGTTTTCATTGTCTCCCTTTGGTTCTCCTGCAGGCTTCCGTGCTGTCCCATGTGAATCTGAGCATCAACCCCGGCGAGCTGGTGGCACTGGTGGCGCTGGTGGCGCTGAGTGGCAAAGAGATGACTGTTTCTCACCTCTTTGTATATCCTCATCTCACTTCAATCCACCCTTCCGTTCGCCCCTTATTCTTCCTGCAGGCCTCCGTGCTATCCCATGTGAATCTCACCATCAATCCCGGCGAGCTGGTGGCGCTGGTGGGGCTGAGTGGCAGTGGGAAAAGCACTCTCGTGGGGCTGCTGCAGCAGCACTATGAACCCACACACGGAGAGGTGAGGGGGGGGTTTGCAAGGTATCAAGAGTTAGGAGGGGTTTTGCACTGTTGTCCTCCCAGTCCCTCGTTTTCCCCACCCCCGTTCCACCTCCATTTCCCCCCCACCCCATGTTTCGCGGCTCCCTTCCCGAGTTTCACCCCTACCCTTTCCCTCCTCTCCCTTCTTTCCTGTCCAGATTCTTTTGGACGGTGTTCCTATAAAGGAGTTTGACACTAAATGGCTGCGCGGGCAGATGGGGGTAGTCAGCCAAGAGCCACGTCTCTTCAGCACAGACGTGGCAGCAAACATTTCGTATGGCTCGGGCAGCCGAAAAAAGAGCCACGAGGAGATCACACGCGCGGCCTGCGCGGCCAACGCGCACGATTTCGTTTCGGAGCTTCCCGAGGGGTACGCGACAGTGGTGGACAACTCGCGGCTGAGCGGCGGGCAGAAGCAAAGAATCGCGATTGCCCGGGCGCTGGTTCGTGACCCGAAGATACTGATTTTGGATGAGGCGACGAGTGCGCTGGATGTGGAAAGTGAGAGGAACGTGCAGGGGGCACTGGATGAGGCGATGAAGAGGGGGAAGAATGGCCGGCGCGATCGTACCGTCATTGTGATTGCACACAGGTGGGTGTGATTACACGCATCATGGTGTGTTGGAAATGGTGTTGTGACTGGTGTTGTGTGGTTTACTGACTGCATCGGCTGTTTCCGTATGTGCTGCTCTTCTTTTCTGTTGAATTATGCTTTTCCCATGCTCCAATTATGAACCCCAATCTCTGCTATTTTTTCATCAGGCTGTCTACGATCCAGGCAGCAGACCGCATCGTGGTGATGGCTCATGGCAGGATAACAGAGGTGAGTGCTGCGCAAGTGTCCAATGTACACATCTGCATCATTCATTTAATTAGTTTGTTTTGTTTCTCCGATGGCCTGTTCGTTCAAACGATCATCAAGAAGTCAACATGATGCTGCCTTCTCGTTTTCGACATGAGTTGATAACGCCCTTCCATGATTCTGGTCTTGCTTACGGTATATTTGATGTTGTTATGCCAGGTGGGCACACATGCACAGCTCATGGCCAAGGGTGGTGAATACGCAAGGCTGGTGAACATGCAAGACCATACACCAGCATTCGCGATGCCTTGAAGGCCGCTCCTGATTTTGCCATGCTTTCTTTGGATATAAGGCTCCTGACGTTTCACCAGTGTATATAGCTGTCGGGGAATTGTAGCCAGCCTGCCTGATGTGGTATACTTTTGCTGGTAATCCTTTTTTTGGTTATGTTATCGTAGAGGGATGGTTTAACGCAAATGTACTTGTTTCGGTTTCGCAACAGTGTCGGTGTTCCCCCCCTCTCTTCATGAGTCAACTCCGCCATAATCTCAAACCAACCAAACCTGCCTGCTATCGAAAACACACTCCTTGATGGATGTCGTTTCCGCAGCATCTGTATCATCTCCCGATTCCCCCCAGTGGCCCCTCCCGTCACAACATCCCCGCACTCTCTGCCAGTCCGCCTGTTCCCCAGCATTTCTCCCCCACCTCTTACCTCTCATCTTCGTCCCCCTTCCCCGCTCACACCACCAAACCTCCCCCTTCTTTCAACACGCCCCCGCCGCTTCCCCCGAACCGGTGAGTCGTTCCGCCAACCCGTGTCGATTCAGCCAGCGCCATCCAACCCATCCATCCCTTCCTTACCTGCCCAGCCAAAGCCTATCTGATTTCCTTGGTTCAAAAACAGCCATGGCTCCCAGCCCTAGCACATCGGTTCTACCAATTTCGTGCATTCCAAGGGTAGCCAGCTCTTATTGCAGTCTATCTTCACAGTGGAGGGTTACCTCGTGTCTCGCCACGTGGTGTTAGTATGTTCTTAGTCTCGCGTAGGTTTCGCGGGTTGAGCCAGTCTGACGTGTCAGGCCTTGAGGCCACGTGGTCTTTATCTGGAGGTAAAATACCAAGAGGCGTCAGGCGAACGTACATCTCCTCCATCGCAAGCTAACATGGAGTCACGCGCTTCGAGCACGCACTTGCTCTCCGCGTTGTTTCTCGACTCGGAATTGGTTCTTTAGTAAAAGGTACTGGCGCTATGAAGTATATCTGACGTTCCCGACGCGTGATCTTGGCTTGAGCCGTTCATACCCTTACCAGAACCTAGTCATCAGCGCGCACACGCGACGACACGATGTTCTTCCTCCGTCTCATGGTTTTCCAGCTGAATATCCGCCGACCATGTACCCTCCAACGAGAGCCCTACTCCTGCCGAAAGAATGAAGCCGTATCTCTTAATTAAATCAATGGCCCTCGGCGCTCGTCAATTCCTGGTCGAAGTCTCCGACCAGTCCAGTCCAGTCCCGTCCAGTTCGGTTCAGTTCGGTTCTGGCCGACCACGATCATTCACCCTCTAGCATCTCACTCCATTCTTGCGCGCTTGTCCCTCGTTGCGAGGAGAGTAAGTCACCTGCAGACCGGTCATTGCTCGCTTACCAGCAAGTTTCGAGTTTACTTTCCCGCCGGAGTAGGTTTTCCGGCTTCCGCCGGCCTTTCCCAGCCTTCTCCCCGCCTTCTCAACATTGTTTATGAGTTAGGCTCTGTACCGAACCAGTGAGTTAGACTCGGTGCTCATCGAAGGTAGTAGAGTAGGGCTAGGTGTCGCCAGCGACGCTCACCAGCGAACTGAGGAGCCACTGGCGACGACCGCTGGCGAAGAAGAGGGTTACGAGCAGCAATCGAGCTACGGCGCTAACGACATTCGCGAGCGACCATGTTCTGCTGTTTCGCGCGGCCCAAGGCGGGCGACGACGACAATGTCAACGACGACTATGCGACACCTGCGCCGCCCGCGCGGAACACCCCGCGGAAGCCCGCGCCTTCCGCCTCTTCCCCCGTCGGCGATGCCGGCGTGCGCGAATACGCTAGTAAAATGGCGGCCGCAGACGACCGCGTCGCCATGTCGTCAGTCGCCGTGTTACACGCCGCGCAAATTCGCAGCATTCGCTCGGAGAACGCCACTGGGATCAGCGGTGGCAGCGGCGCCCCCAGCGGCGGAGGAGTAGTAGGAGGAGGCGGCGGCGGTGTCGGCGGCGGCGGCATCACAGCAGCGCATGGCGGCGGCGGAGGTGGGTCGGGTCGGGGGGCTTCCCGAGATGCTTCGTCGAAGCCTCCTATAGCGACAGATAGAGGCAAGAGCCATATGGGGCCGGTAATCATGGCGGCCGGCCCGGGGCTAGGGTTTGGCGCATCGGGTATAGACATCAGACCAGGCAGCGGCGCAGGCGGCGGAGGCGGAGGGGGAGGTTTGGATGAGCGGCCGAGCAGCGCGGGACCGACGACGATACAGCAGCACATGCAGCACCACCAGCAGCTGCACCAGCACCAGCAGCACTATGCCGCAGCCGTGGGATCGCGCGCAGTGAACAGTGCCGGATCCGTATCGTATCTCAATGCCATGCCTGGGCGGCAGCGGATCGTTGCTTGGCTGGAAGAATCGGATCAGTCGTTTGCGACGGTAGACGAAACCACGAACGAACCCGTGCGACTCAGGTCCCCGCGGGGTAAGCAGGCGCAAGGGGAGGGGGACGGGGAGGGGGAAGGGGATGGGGAAAGCGGGCGGGACGGGAGCGCGGACGCAGCTGCTATGGAACGCCTGGGGCTCTTTCTTTCCAGCCTGCCCGCCGGGCAGTATGAAGACCGCGGCAGCCCCACGGCCGCGCCTCCGTCCGCCTCGGGGGAGTCCAGCGGCGGAGTTGGGGGTCCCAGCGGAGCGTGGAGCGCGGGAGGCGGAGCGGGAGGCAGCAGCAGCACGGGTACGCACGGGCAGTCGGGTTATTCCGCCATGGCCACTGCGGGTTCAGGTGCTACTGGCCCGAGTTACACCAGTCCGGGTATTCCAGGGGGAGGTTTTACTGGTGCAGGTTTATCTGGGGCGCGCAGGGCTTCCCCGAATAACTCCAAGCGGGACCTGCTTCCGCCCCCCGCGGGGGGCCATAGCGGGGGGGCGGGGGCCGGAGGTGGTAGTGGGGGGAATCCATTGGGGGGGAACCCGATGGCGCGGACGCGGTCGAGCCAGGAACCCGTGCGCCTGGTGCCCCAGATGGGCAGCGCGGAGGAGAGCGCACAGGCGGGCGCTGCGCCTTCCCCCCTCCCCGCTACTGCAGGCGCGCTGGGGGCGGGACCTAGTGGGGCGGGGGGAGGCAGAGGCGGAGCTGTGTTGGCGCCTTCATTGAGCTTTGCCAATGGGGTTGGTTCAGGCATGGGGGCAGTGGCGGCTGGTGGCGCAGGGGTAGGGGCTGGGACAGGAATGGGAGCAGGGGCACCCGTAGGGGGTGGGGGATGTACTGGCTCGGGTACTGGTGCTGCTGGTGGTGCAAGTGGGGCGAAGGAAAAGGAGAGCCTTCGCGTGCAGGCACTGAGTAATGCCATTCGGCACAACAGCCACGGCGGGGAGAAGGACAGAGACAGCCATAGAGACAAGGAACCCCTAGGCCGCTCCACCACTCAGTACTCAGAAGAAGGGGGGTCAGCAGCAGCAGTTGCCGGATCAGCTGTTGCTGCCACTGCTGGGTTCGGTGGGAGTGCGAGAGGCTTGGGAGGCGGTTTTGCTTCGGACACAGCTTCGGATACGGCTGCAGGGCAGGTGCATGGTATGAGGGATGGCAGCTTCCCCCCTTCTCCTGCTCCGGATAAGTCGTGGTATGCTGTGTCGCCATTGGTGGATTTTCACCCGGGGTCCAGCCCGCCGCCCCCTTTCATGCCCGGGCAGAGTCCGCTGAGAGATAGTGCTTTCAAGCTGCCCTTGCCTGCTGTGGGAGGGAATGGGGCAGGTAATTCCGGGCATGAGGGGTTAGGGGAGATTAGAACAGAGGATGGGCAGATAGGGGGAGGGGGTACGGGGGATGGAGAATTGTCTATGGATGGTGGAAAGGGAGTTGCAGCTGAGGGTTCATCTCACGAGGAGGCTCCTTGTTCCAAGAGTATGAATTAGGGCTACTGCCTGAGTTTCATTCCTTTGGAGGTGTGGAGATTGTGGAGATTGTTGTGATGTACGGTCAGTCATGAGTGCAGGGGTGGGAGGATTTTGCATTTGGGGTTGGTCAGTTGGTAGAAGGAAAGGAAATCATTATGTTGAGTATATTAGTCCATGTGTTCATTCTGCAATTGGGGTTGGTCAGTTGGTAGAAGGAAAGGAATCATCATTCTCCCTCATCTACTGCTGAATCCCTCATGCTAGTGTAAAACAAAGCTAGTAGTGTAAAAAAATCCCTTCAAACCATCGTTCACCCATTGAGAGTAAATAACTGGGCAGCGAGAAGTGCAGATAACTCGCCCTGCCGTTCGACAATTCGCCAGAGCGTAAACCACAAGCACCAACGAACCAAAAAGGAAAAACCATTTGACAATTCGCAGTTTGCATGCATCACGTCAGGTGGTCGTCCTCCTGCTCAGCGGGAGCATGGCGGTGGTGGTGGTCGGTTTGGGGGCAAATCAGAGCAGGATTCGGAAGATTATCGTCAATGCTTCTCTATTGGTGGAGGGGGGACCCTCATTGGGTCACTGCTGCAGCCTCTTGCTGTTGTTTGATGACCCACTCCACTCCACAAGAGCGAGGAGGTGACTGGGGGGCATGGCAGCAGTCGCACTGGGAGATGGATCTGCTTTCGTTTTCGGTCGCCCTGGCATTTCATGATTGTACTTTTCAGGTTGGGGTTGGGTTGGGGGTGCGCAGCATCGACGAATGCTGGGCGGCGTGAAAATTATTCAGCTAAGCAGGAGGATTAAATGTGGGAAGAGAGTTCGGCCTGTCTTTCAGTGGAAGGTTTTACAGGCTGCTCTCATCAATGTCCAACCACACGTGTCTACTTACGCTAAGTGGAGGCTTGATGATTTGAGCCCAGGACAAGAGCCTGAGCCCGGTACGGGTTCGTAAGCAAGTGAGCCCTGAAATCATATGGAAAATAAATATCTGACCCGTTTCTGGTAACCTGTCGTTTTTTGCAAGGTCCTGCCTGGTGGCAGACAGGCACTGCGTACGACTCTGTCCTCTAGTGCTGCCGAGCCGAACGACCATTCAAGAAGAAAGTACAAACGAACCGTGAATGTCAAACATCCGCACCTGGCGGTAAACCTTGGCCTGAGCTTCGGCGCAGGTATGACGACGCGTTTTTGTTCGGTATGGCTTCGGGCTTTTCCACACTTCCGCCTCTAACTACTGTACCCCGCCCCCTCTCCCCCCCTCCCCACCTCTCCCCCCCCCCCCCCCCGAACCTCCTTCTGCCGGTATGTTTGCCCTTGAACCTTTGATCTTGTCCGTGGCCCTTGGGCTGCTCGAAGCTGCCCTTCGTTCGGGGTTCTTTCGAGTGGACCGCGCTCTGTTTCCGCAGACGCACACTGCCAGGCCAGTGTGGTGCATTTCTTCGTGCCGAAAACAGCAGCGTTTTCTTCAAATCGGGCAAAAGGTTGTTGACTGGTTCATTACAGTCAGCAGCACCAACAAACCGTGCCTGAACTCTGTTAAATGTACCTCACCGTACTTGACACCGGCTGAAGTTGGCCAGGCCATGCTATTCCCGTGCAGGTCAGTGATCTCTCATGATTCATCTCAACCACCCCACGTGGAGTGGGACTCGCCAGAAGGTACTCATGCTTGGCAGAGGTCTTAGCTTCTCCACCACTTATGGCTCAACAATAAAGCATTCGCAGGCGTATTTATGACCTGCGCTCACCAGTGTTAGAGCAGTGATAGTAAAGCATCTGATTGACGTTATTGTCCGATTAACTCGAGGTTTTTTTGGGTTGTGCGGGGCGAGAATAGTGTACGAATTAACGAGACTAGGGGAGATGTCAGCAGACTGTTGATATAATATTATTTACTCGCAGATGCTGTACTGGGCCAGCAGCGCGCGTCGAGAATTCATTGCTTAGATTCGAGGGAAGAAATCGATTTCGTAGTCGCCAGCGTCCCCGTAGTTCCCGAAAGAACTCGCTAGGCTTGGAGCAAAGCCTGATTTTTTTCGTTTCAGAAAGTTTTGACCGCATCGTAGTGCGAGTCGGGGCCCCTGCACCGGGGTACGCACCTTGTGTATACCAGCGAGAGTGAAACGAAGACATCAGATGACCGTTGCGAGTGAAACGAAGACATCAGATGACCGTTGCGAGTGAAACGAAGACATCAGATGACCGTTGCGAGTGAAACGAAGACATCAGATGACCGCTGCGGGCTTTTCAACATGTAACACGGATACTGGACAACGATTCACGCTTACACTAACGATGACATTAGTCGATCCGACGCGGGCTTCTAGTGGTTAAAATCAAGACACTTCGCAAATGACCCAACCTTACGCTGACGATTACAGTAGACCGACGGGTGCGGCCTTCTTAATTACTGATACGGACACTGTACAATGACTCACACATTACACTGACGATGACATTAGACTACCCGTTGCAGACAGTCTACAATGACTCGCACTTACACTGATGATGACATTACACTACCCGGTTCAAACACTGTACAATGACTCACACTTACACTGACGATGACATTAGCCCGTCCAGAGTGCTCAACCGCGTGTGTAAGTCGGAGCCGCGAATCACGGTGCAACCGCCGTCCGTGCTGATGCTGCACTCTAGAATCCTGCAGCAGCCGCAGCAGCAGCAGCAACTACCACTACCAGAAGAGGATAGCGAGCCTAGATACTACCAGTCGCCGGACAGTCTGCCAGATGGCATGTCGTCCGTACGATCCATGATGAACCCAGGAATCGACGGTTCTGGGAGAAGCGGGGGGGCCGGCGGTTCGGGCCAGCGCAGTCCAGCTATTCCGCGATCTTCGCGGTCCGTTGGCGGAATTGGAATCGCCGCCTTTGGCGGGGGGAAAGGGGGGCGGAGTAGCGGAGCGGTAGGGATTACCTCCGGCGTGTTAGGAAGCTCTGGCGGTGCGGCTGGATCTGACGAAGCGCGGTTTTATGATCCATACGGAGGCGCAGACGCGGCTTTTGGAAACGAATGGGAAACTGCCGAACTTGGCAAGGCGTCTCGGCGAGCAGCTTCGGACGGCGAAGCATCTGGTTTTGTTTCCAAACCTTCGAGTTTGATCCGGTCCCGAACCTTAGACGCAGATACGCTATGCGGGGAGGATGACGACGACCCTAATAACGCAGGCTCGGGATCCTCCCCAAGCAGGCCGTCAGGTCCGGATGGGCCGGTTGGGAATCCACGCCGCCGAGCCGAGCGATCAGGTGCGGGAAACAGGCCTGGAACAGGGTCGTACCTGCCGATATACCGACAGATTGGCGTTCCCCGTAGTTCCTCGCACGACCCCGCAAGTCTGTTCGCGCAGAAGCAGCATCACGCCGGGTTCACCGTGCAGGAGTGGGAAGAAGCGCTTAAAGACGGCAGCGGCGGGGACAGCAGCGGACCGCCAAGCGGCGGAACGGGCTTCGGGCGGAGCAACAGCGGAGGGGGCGGGGGAGGGGGAGGAAGGGCGGCTGGGAGCGCAGTCCCGCGCGGAGGCGGCGGAGCCTCGGGAATGCCGAGAGGCGGAGCTGGTGCGTCGCCGTTTTCCATTCAGGGGAAGGTGGTATCCGGGGCAGGGCGATCTATGATGATGCCTCCGCGCAACTCGTCCGTCCCCGCAGCGTTGCCCACGCATAAAGGCACCGCCACGGGACTGCAAGACTCCGCGCGCGGAGGCGGAAGGCAGCTCCGCGCGTTCGCATCCGCCGCGCCAGGGCGCATGGACGGCCCCGCTGCCCTGGGGTCGGAGCTGGGCCGGCGCGACTCGTACAACCTGATTCTGGACCAGTTTCTGTCAACAGACGGAAACGCTAGCGGCCCAGATTCGCCTGGTATGGGAATGGGTCCGGAGGAGAGGAGAGGACCGGCCGAAATTGGCGGGGGGGTGGAGTTACGTAGGGTTGTAACGACGGGGAGGCAGCAGAGGGCGGAAAGGGGTGGAGCGGATGTTTTGGTGGTAGAGTGCGGTGGAGATGGTGGGAACGCGGACGGGAGTGTGCACGGCGGAGGTAGGATGCATGGAGGGATTCGGCTGCATGGAAGTAATAGTTTCCACGGGCAACCGAGTAGCGGTGGTGCTGCTGGTGGGGGTTTCGATGGCAGCAGCAGCACAACAGCGCCCACTGCCCCTGCTGCTGCTGCCGCTTCTGGTGGTGCTGCGTCAGCAATAAGCCAGCCCCCCCACCACCCCGTGCACCACCCAGCATGTAGGCAATTCCCCCGTTCCTCTAGTGACAGCGGAAGGAAATCGTCTCCTAGTCGTCGGAGCCCTAGCAGCAGCCCCAGCCGCGGCGTGGGGACCATTGGCGGAAGCAACCTTGCGCCTCCCCCGCTCGTCTCCCCCCACCATCTCTTGGACGGGGGCGCCGGGCTGGGTATGGGTGGGCATAGCGCTGCGAGCAGCTGGACTGGCGAAGGGATGGGCGGAGGCGTTGTGGGGGGGTTTGGGGGAGCAGCAGCAGCAGGAGCAGGAAACAGTGTTCCGGTAGGGTTTGAGAAGCCAAGAGGGGTTTCGCCAACGAGAGGAGCTGGGTCTATTCTTGTAGCGTCGTCTGGTAGTCCCCTTCGCCATTCCTCCCCCTCACGCCGAAGCCTCTCGACAGGTGGCGCTTCGGGAGTGGCTAGCTGGAAAGGCAGCAGTAACAGCAGCGCCAGCATGGGAAACGGCAACAGCGGTGGTGGTGGCAGCAGCGGTGGCAGCAGCGGTTTCATCAGCAGCAGCAGTGGCAGCAGCAGCAGCGGCGGAGGATCAGGGCCCGGGCGAGGCAGCAGTACAGGTGGCAGCCACAGTGCCAGTTTCCCTATAAAGCAGTCCTCTGGCAGCCCTCCGTTGTTATCACAACAGGCACAGTCACAATCACCGCAGCAGCCGTCGCAGCAGCAGCAGCAGCTGATGCGTCAGCCACCCTTACAGCCACTGCCACAGCCGCAGTTTCCGCGGTTGGCGGGAGCAGGGGCAGGGGGGGGGAGTATGGCCGGGGGAGGGGGCACAGGGACATCGCACAGGAGAGGGAAGAGTGAATACGCCCTAAGTTCAGGGAAGAGGCTATCAAGGCAGAGCTCTGGATCTGTGGGGGATGGTGTGGATTACAGCAGCAGCTTTGAGAGCTACTCTACTGCTGCTGGCGCTGACGTGGCACGAGATGGCATGGACGGGGACTCGGACCACGGGCAGGTTAACGGGCAGCGGAAACTCCGGGGGCAGGCGCTGGGAGGGAGTGGGAACGGGAGGCAGAAACACAGGCGAGCGGTTAGCGATAACGAGTGTGCTCAACCAGGGGAGGTGGAGTCTGGGGAGGGGGAGGAGGGGGGAAGAGAGGGTGTGGGGGAGGGATGGGCGGATGGACAGGTAGAGAGGGGCATGGGAGGGAGGAGAGGGGGCGGAGAGGGTGGAACAATGCATGGGGGTGGTTGGGAAGAGGGGGGTGAAGATGGCGGGGCAGATGTTGGGGAGATTTCATTTGGGCGGCAGCAATCAGTGGCGGAGATAGGGGGGAGTTGCGGAGGCATGGGGGGAAGGGACGGGGAAAGGGCGGGGGAAGGGGGAGGGGAAGAAGACGGGGGAGGGGAGGAGGAGGAGAGTGACTCAGGCAGTGTGGTGGAGTGGGCTCTGGCAGGCTCGCCACAGAGCATCTCGGCTGTAGCAGAGGCGGCAGAAGGGGGGAGGGGAGGTGGAGGGGGTAGGGACGCGGAAGGAAGCTTCCTCCGCAGAGGCAGCGGCGGTAGAGCAGTAGCAGCAGCGGCAGCAGCAGCAGGGGGAGGAGCAGGGGGGGGGGGCAGGGGGAGGGGCAGGGGGAGGAGCAGAGGGAGGAGCCCAGGGGGGCATGGGTAGAGCGACAGGGGGAGGAACAGGTGGGGCCGCTTCAGCTGCAGGAGAGGGGGAGGGCGTATCTGGAGCAGGCGCATCTGGAACTCATCCCGTTTGGGGCGGCTTTCCGCGTCTCAACGTGGAGATTGCGAGCCTGCAGTCGTTCTCAGATGAGGACAACCCCAGTAACCGGAGTGTGGGATCGCTGCAGGGCATGGGCAGTGGGCGGGGTGTGGGCAGCGAACAGGGCATGGATAGCGCTCAGAGCAGCTTACTGAACAGCAGCTTGGGAAAAGGAGCGGGCGGAGGGGTTGGAGAGGGTGCGAGGCGGTGGGTACGGGGTGGGAGAGAGGGGGGGGTAGAGGTGGGAAGGGGAAGGGGGAGGGAGAGGCGCGGGAAGGGGAGGAAGGGAGTGAGATTTTACTCTGAATTGAGGTCTCCGTTGGGTAGGCGAGGGTCGATGAGTGGGAGAGTGGAGACGCCGCGAGGGGTGGTGGGGAGAGGTGGGAGTGAGAGGAGAAGCAGAGGAGCGTATAGGTGCAGGCATTGTCGGGAGGAGGAGGAAGAGGAGGAGGGGGAAGAGGATGGGGAGGGGGAGGAGGTGGAGGAGGATGAGGAAGAGGGATGTGAGGAGGGGTGTGTGTACGAGGAGGCGGGTAGGGGCAGCAGGGAAGGGGGGCGGAGGAAGAAAGAGGAGGGGAGGGTGTTCATTGGGAGGGTGTTTAATGTGTTACGGCGGCCCATGAGGGCAGTGGGCAAGCAGTATGCGTTGACTGCGGACGACTGGCTTGACTACGACCCCCCTGGAGATGCGCTGCTGAGGCGGTGCGTGCACCGGGCGTCTGGCACTCAGCTCATGTGCCGCACGATTTCCAAGCAGAGCATTCGGGTAAGGCGTGAGTAACCAGGTGGGTGGGTGAGTGGTTGACTGCGGACGACTGGCTCGACTACGACCCCCCTCAAGATGCGCTGCTGAGGCGATGCGTGCACCGTGTGTGTGGCACTCCTCTTACCTGCCGCACCATCTCCTAGCAGAGCATTCGGGTGAGTGGACGAGCAGGTGGGTGGGAGTGTCAGGCAGGCACAATGGTGGGTTGAAACAATCTGGCATTCCCACAATGGCATTTGGTCAGGCTGCTCACATGCCATCTGTTTCACCCACCCTTCCCCCCCTGCTCGATTCGCAGCAGCAGGCGGAGGCCATCGGGTCGGGGTGAAGGTGGCAGTGTTGGAGGTGCTGCAGCCGAGGAGACTATAGAAGGTCCACTTTTGACTCTTTCTCTCTCCCTCTCGCTCATCTTCCACCCTCCTCCCAGTCGCAGCAGCAGGCGGAGGCCATCGGGGTGGAGGTGGCAGTGATGGAGGTGCTGCAGCCGCATGCTCACATCGTTGGGCTCAGAGACAAGTTCGAGAGCCTCACGGTGAGCGTGTTTCCGTGGTGGGCATTTGATTCTACACCCCATAGCGCGTCTCTCTCTACATGACCGCATGCGCCACCACCATTGCCATAACTCTGACACGCATAAATTCCTTTTCTTCTTCTTCTTCTTCTTCTTCACCGTCCTCCCATCCCCACCCCACTATCCTTCTCCTCCTCTTACCCTCCCAGTCCGTGCATCTCATACTGGAACCCATGGCGCGCCTCTCTCTGCACGACCGCATGCGCCACCACTACTGAGGGCAGCGGGTGGCAGTTCCTTGCATTCCCCTGCCTAATCTCTCCCCCCTCTCCCCCCTCTCCTCTCCCCCCTCCTCCACCTCCCAGTCCGTGCATCTCATACTGGAACCCATGGCGCGCCTCTCTCTGCACGACCGCATGCGCCACCACTACTGAGGGCAGCGGGTGGCAGTTCCTTGCATTCCCCTGCCTAATCTCTCCCCCCTCTCCCCCCTCTCCTCTCCCCCCTCCTCCACCTCCCAGTCCGTGCATCTCATACTGGAACCCATGGCGCGCCTCTCTCTGCACGACCGCATGCGCCACCACTACTGAGGGCAGCGGGTGGCAGTTCCTTGCATTCCCCTGCCTAATCTCTCCCCCCTCTCCCCCCTCTCCTCTCCCCCCTCCTCCACCTCCCAGTCCGTGCATCTCATACTGGATCCCATGGCGCGCCTCTCTCTGCACGACCGCATGCGCCAGCACGGCCCCATCCCTCAGCACCACGCAGCACCGCTCTGCCTCGCGCTGCTGCACGCGCTGCACCACTGCCACTCTCAGGGCGTGGCCCACCGTAACCTCACGCCCCATGCTGTCGTGTTTCCCACTGATGACAGCCCGCTGGGGGATGCCCGGCTGAGTGGATTCGAGTGGGCAGCGTTTGTCACCCCAGGTATGTTCTGCTTGCCTGCGCCACCCTGTAGCGCCAGTCTGTAGCGCCAGCCTGTAGCGCCACCCTGTAGTGCCAGCCTGTAGCGCCGCCCTGTAGCGCCAGCCTGTAGTTTGGGAGATGGCTGGCTGTGTTAGGTTGGGTTTCGCTGTGTTAGCCTGGCAACCCAGGTTGGTCCCGCTTGGACCAGTGGTTGATCTGCCAGTCACCTGACAATGAGACTCACACACTCACCCTCAACCTCACGCCCCATGCTCCCTTTCCATCTCTCTCCCACTAGCCCAATCCCTCCTCTGCTGGATTCCCTGCAACCATCCCATGCACACTGCTCTCCCCGTCCCCTCCCCCTCCCCCTCCGTTTCTCCTCCTCCCGTCCCCAGGAGTGCCGTTCTCAGACCCAGTAACACCGCCCTTGTTTGCAGCACCCGAAGTGCACGCGGGGATGTACGGCACACAGGCCGACCTCTGGTCGCTCGGGGTCCCCCTCTTCCTCCTCCTCGGCTCTGCTGGGTGCCCTTCAACCATCCCACGCACACTGCTCTCCTCGTCTCCCCCTCCTTACCCGTCCCCTCCGCCTTCTCCTCTGCCTCCCCTTCCCGCTCCCCTTCCTGCTTCCCCTTTTCCCCTCCCTCCCTTCTCAGGAGTCCCCTTTTCAGACCCAGTGACCCTGCCCTTGTTCGCGGCACCGGAGGTGCACGCGGGAAGGTACGGCACACAGGCCGACCTCTGGTCCCTCGGGGTCCTGCTCTTCCTCCTCCTCTGCGGGGTCCCACCCTTCTGGGCGGCCACGGGCGGCGGGATTCGGCGGGCAGTGCAGCAGCAGCAGGTGGCGTTCCTGTCGCCCCGGTGGAAGGAGGTTTCCGATGAAATGAAGCAGCTGCTGCTGATGCTGCTCGAGAAGAATCCTTCCGACCGGCTCACAGCCGCCGAGGCTCTAGGTATGTGCATCGTTGCGTCTGAGGTGGTTTCTCTGTGCCCTCTAGGATCTTTTGGGCGTCCACTGGGGAGGTGATTCAGTGAGCAGCGCAGCAGCAGGTGGCGTTCCTGTCGCCCAGGTGGAAGGAGGCTTCTGAAGAAATGAAGCAGCTGCTGCTGATGCTGCTGCTTGAAAAGAAGCCCCCAGACTGTATTTGAGAATTCTCAAAAACACCCTGCAGCAGATGAAGCAGCTGCTGCTGATGCTGCTCGAGAAGAACCCTTCAGACCGACTCACCGCCGCCGAGGCTCACTCAGGTATGTGTGCCCCGGTGGTTACTCTGTTCCCCTAAGTGATCTTTCTCCTTCTGGGCACCAGCAAGGGAGGGGTGGGGATGGGGGTGGCGGGCAGTGCAGCAGCAGCAGGTGGCGTTCCTGTCGCCCTGGTGGAAGGATGTATCAGATGAAATGAAGCTGCTGCTGCTGCTGCTGCTGCTGCTGGAGAAAAGATATAATTGGAGAATTACAGGAGCTGAGGTTCAGGGTATGTGTTCCACAGAAGGTATCTCTTTCTTCTCTCGGTGATGTTTCTTCATCTGCTGCTCACAGCAGGGGGGCTTCAGCATGCAGTGCAGCAGCAGCAGGTGGCGGTCCTGTCCGCCAGGCGGAAGGACGTTTCGGATGAGATGAAGCAGCCGCTCATGCTGCTGCTGATGCTGCTGCTCGAAAAGAACCCCGCAGACCGGCTGACAGCTGCTGAGGCTCTAGGTATGTGCGCCTGAGGGAGCGGTTTCTTTGTGCTCTCAAGATGACACTGCTGCTGCTGCTGCTGCCGCCGCCGCCGCCGCCGCCGCCGCCGTCACCGCTGCTGCTGCTGCTCGAAAAAACTTTTGAGGCGCCTCAAAAGTCGGATGACAGCTGCTGAGGCTCTAGGTATGTGCGCCTGAGGGAGCGGTTTCTTTGTGCTCTCAAGATGACACTGCTGCTGCTTCTCCTCGAGAAAAATCACTCAGGAAGAAGACTCATGGCCTCTGAAGCGCTAGGTGAGTGTGTCTGAGGTGCTTTCTCTGTGCCCTCAAGGTTCGTCTGGTCACCCGACCCGAGGTGGCAGTGATTTCAGCATAAAGTGCAGCAGCAGCAAGTGGCCTTCTTGTCCCCCAGGTGAGTGCCTCAAAACTCACCTCAGACCCACTCACCTAAGTATTGAGGGTTCTTTGGTGTCTAGGCTCTCTTGGTGAGTGTCTCTGGAGGTGGTGCATACCCTGAAGCTCTAGCTAAGTGGTACTCGTGGTTGATATTGCCTGCATTTCGTATTCTTCTCGAATTTATCGCTAGGTAAGTGGTGTCTGTGGGTGAAATCAAGTTTTTAGATGTCTCAAAACGAGCCAAGTGGTACCTGGGGCTGAAATTGCACGCAGTGTTTCCTTCAGTCTTTTGTTTGTTTCCTCCAGTCTTTTGTTTGTTTCTGACTGCTGTTTTCGCTGAAGCTGCTTCTTGTCTTTTTGCGACGGCTCTCCTCTGCAGAGCATCCAGTGTTCACACGAGTGGCAGCATCAGAGGAGGGTACACCATGACTCATGAGTCAGGATCTTGATCTTGGCGCGAGAGGAGCTGTAACCAATGACAGGCCGACAGCTCATCACCTGGCGGCATTTGAGGAGGGTACGCCATGATTCATGAGTCAGCATCTTGATCTTTGCACAAGAAGAGCTGTAACCAATGACAGGCTGACAGCTCATCTCGGTGACTTTTGAGTCAACTCAGAAGTCACCTGGCGGCATCAGAGGAGGGTACACCATGAATGATAAGCAGCCGTGCAGCAGATGCCGCATGGAGAACGGGAGGGTACACCATGAATGATATGATTCATGCGTCAGGATCAACGACACCAGGATCGTGGCGCAAGAGGAGCTGTAATCAACGACGGCTTGTCTCGTCATCACTTGCCATAAGTTTGACGACGCCGCGCCTCTGGTCACTCACCTGCTCTTGATCCATGCAGGCAGCCTCAACGGTACCATCTCCTGGAGTGTATTACTACTGCAACTCACTCACTATATAAAGTGTGCCGATCCAACTAACATAACGTGGAGCCTGATATCTAATGTCAACGTGGTGGGCAGGGTAGGACTGTGCATCCTTGTAATATATTGATGTGAATGTATCGAGTGAAAGGATATCTGGGTCATGATTGGGGTGTGACAGCAGGCGGAAGGTTGTTGAACTTCGGGTAAAAGAAGGTTTGGTTCCCAATACTTGGATATGTATCAGACAGAAGGACATGTACTGAAACCAGGAAAGCTCTTACACTTCAAATACAGCAACTTTTCACAAAGCCACAGGGATGATACAAGCCAGCTTTAGTTCATGACCTAGACATCCAATTGTCATGTTCAGTATCCTCCTTGTGGTCAGGTGAGGCGGTTGGCACGTGCATTGCTGGTCCTGCTAGCACGGCTGGCATGGCTGGCACGGCTGGCGCTGCTGCTGTTGCTGTGAGCGCTGAACTTGCTGTGAATGAAGCCGATGCCAGACCCACCGCCACCACCGTTGCCATTGCCATTCCCATCACCGTTCCCACCACCGTTGCCATTGCCATGAATGCCAGACCCACCACCACCGTTGCTGCCACCACCACCATTGCTGCCACCCCCTCCATTGTCGCACCCGCAGCAGCAATAGCAGCAGCACCCGTTGCCGTTGCCGTTCCCAGTGACGGTGACGTCGTTGTTATCACCACCGTTGCCATTGCCGTTACCACAACCGTTGCCGTTGCCGTTGCCACAGCAGCAGCAGCAGCAGCCATTGCCGTTGCCGTTGCCATTCCCGTTGCCGTTGCCATTCCCGTTGCCGTTGCCATTCCCGTTGCCGTTGCCATTCCCGTTGCCGTTGCCATTCCCGTTGCCGTTGCCATTCCCGTTGCCGTTGCCATTCCCGTTGCCGTTGCCATTCCCGTTGCCGTTGCCATTCCCGTTGCCGTTGCCATTCCCGTTACCGTTGCCATTGCTGTCACCACAACCGTTCCCGTTGCCGTTGCCACAGCAGCAGCAGCAGCAGCAGCAGCCATTGCCATTGCCGTTACCATTTCCGTTGCCGTTCCCATTCCCGTTGCTGTTGATGCTGTTGTGATCATTACCGTTGCCATTGCCGTTACCACAACCGTTGCCATTGCCGTTGCCACAGCAGCAGCAGCAGCAGCCATTGCCGTTGCCGTTGCCATTCCCGTTGCCGTTGCCATTCCCGTTGCTGTTGCCATTCCCGTTGCCGTTGCCATTCCCGTTACCGTTGCCATTGCTGTCACCACAACCGTTCCCGTTGCCGTTGCCACAGCAGCAGCAGCAGCAGCAGCAGCCATTGCCATTGCCGTTACCATTTCCGTTGCCGTTCCCATTCCCGTTGCTGTTGATGCTGTTGTGATCATTACCGTTGCCATTGCCGTTACCACAACCGTTCCCGTTGCCGTTGCCGTTGCCACAGCAGCAGCAGCAGCAGCAGCCATTGCCATTGCCGTTGCCATTTCCGTTCCCGTTCCCATTCCCATTGCCGTTGCCATTCCCGTTGCCGCTGATGCTGTTGTTATCGTTACCGTTGCCATTGCTGTCACCACAACCATTCCCGTTGCCGTTGCCGTTGCCGTTGCCACAGCAGCAGCAGCAGCAGCAGCCATTGCCATTGCCGTTGCCATTTCCGTTGCCGTTCCCATTCCTGTTGCCGTTGATGCTGTTGTTATCGTTACCGTTGCCATTGCCGTTACCACAACTGTTCCCGTTCCCGTTGCTGTTGCCGTTGCCACAGTAGCAGCAGCAGCAGCAGCAGCAGCAGCCATTGCCATTGCCGTTGCCATTTCCGTTGCCGTTCCCATTCCCATTGCCGTTGCCATTCCCGTTGCCCCTGATGCTGTTGTTATCGTTACTGTTGCCATTGCTGTCACCACAACCGTTCCCGTTGCCGTTGCCGTTGCCACGGCAGCAGCAGCAGCAGCAGCAGCCATTGCCATTGCCGTTGCCATTTCCGTTGCCGTTCCCATTCCCGTTGCCGTTGATGCTGTTGTTATCGTTACCGTTGCCATTGCCGTTACCACAACTGTTCCCGTTCCCGTTGCCGTTGCCATAGCAGCAGCAGCAGCAGGAGCGGCCATTGCCATTGCCGTTGCCATTTCCGTTGCCGTTGCCATTCCCATTGCCGTTGCCATTCCCGTTCCCGCTGATGCTGTTGTTATCGTTACCGTTGCCATTGCTGTCACCACAACCGTTCCCGTTGCCGTTGCCGTTGCCACAGCAGCAGCAGCAGCAGCCATTGCCATTGCCGTTACCATTTCCGTTGCCGTTGCCATTCCCGTTGCCGTTGCCATTCCCGTTGCCGTTGACGCTGTTGTTATTGTTCCCGTTGCCGTTGCCGTTGCCGCAGCAGCAGCAGCCATTGCCATTGCCGTTACCATTTCCGTTGCCGTTGCCATTCCCGTTGCCGTTGCCATTCCCGTTGCCATTGACGCTGTTGTTATTCTTACCGTTGCCATTGCCGTTACCACAATCGTTCCCGTTCCCGTTGCCGTTGCCACAGCAGCAGCAGCAGCAGCCATTGCCATTGCCATTTCCGTTGCCGTTGCCATTTTCATTGCCGTTGATGCTGTTGTTATCGTTGCCGTTGCCATTGCCGTTACCACAACCGTTGCCGTTGCCACAGCAGCAGCAGCAGCAGCCATTGCCGTTGCCATTGCCGCCGTCACCACCACCACCACCGCCACTGCCCCCATCTTCACCCCCCATGTGAAGCCACGAGGCCACAAGCGACCAGATGCCACCAACGCCCCCATGGTCACCGCCATTCCCACCGTGCCCACCATCATTTCCTCCAAAGCTGGTGGCAGTGAGACGAGAGGCGAGAGGGTCAACGGGCAAGGGCTGTGGTGTGGAGGTGCTGAGCAGCTGAGACTCAACGGGTAAGGGCAAGGATAGTTGTGTGGTGGAGCTGAGCAGGTTGGTGGCAGTCTGAAGAGAGGTAGGAGAATCAACAGGCAAGGGCTGTGGAGAGGAGGAGCTGAGCAGGCTGCGATGTCTGAAAACGAGCGACTGGGTTTCCATGGCGTCGCTTGCAGCTTCAGACACTGCGGCTTCACTTGTCGTGCCAGCTGTCCCTGCCAGCTTGTCATGAGATGCCACGGCCAGAGATGTGCCTGGTAGAGACGCCGGAGTGGAGAAAAGAGTGTATACTTTGAGGCCTATGTATACTATTATGCAAATGAAACAGATTGCAAAGGCTAGAAGCACGTGAGATTAAGCGCCGGAAACCAAACGGATTTCAAGCTTGACATTGTTCCGACAGGACGCATGTGGTAGTTAAAGCTGAGCTGAATCAGACTCACCGAAGAAAAATAGCGCGAAAACGACCGTTGGAAACAACCAGACGAGTCGCAAACGCAGGTTGGTTGACGCAGCGGAAGCCATGGCTGTTCTTTAAGCTAGAACGGCTTACGCAGGTTGATCTTTGGCTCGAATGCAAGCTGAACAGACCTGAACTGAAGAACGACGCATTCCGTCAATTTATAGCTTTTGAGAGACCTACTTCGCACCAGCAGGCTTTCCCTTTCGAGTGTTCCCATAGCGCGGCTCCGTGACAGGAGCAGGGATTCAGAGGACAAACGGAACGGCACGGCGTCCGTCACCTCATCCTGGGAAATTGGGTCGCGAAATTCTGTTTGACGGGACGCCATGGCGGACTTCCGCGCATCACAGCGTCCCGTCACGGCATCCCATTCGTGAAGCAGAAAATGTTCCAAAAGCATTGATGCGTAACTTCCGTCACTCTCGCTCTACTTGAGAGCAACCGTCCCATCATCCTGCAATTTGGCTCGAAAACGCCAGGTTGTGCTATCATCGCGAAACCACTGGCGACCGAGAAGCAATCCTTTCCGGCCCCGTAAGCGCTACGTACGAAGTCTGTGTCTAGGAGATTTCCTGGTTCAGTTTGCAGTCACGTCAACCAGCTTCGTACCTTCCAGCCACGCCTCTGAACGAAGGCCAGTTACGAGAATGAGCAAGAGGTAATGGAGGGGGGGTCAGGCGAGGATAAGGGGAGGATAAGGGGAGGAAGGTGTTGGGTATGGAGGATATCTGAAATATAAAGAAGGATTGAGAGGGATTGAGAACGACCAGGAGGGGTTGGAGATTCAGCTCTGCAGGAGCATCAATATGCTGTCGTTACACGGATCCGGATTTTGGAATTGGCAGGAGGGATTCCGTTCAGTTCTTGTTGCTCCGCGGCAACCCCCCAACCCACAAGGAGCCGCAGCGCTCTTGAAGTTAGACGCTCCAGCCACTTTTTGGCGAATTCGGAACACTCAAAGACGTACTGGCGAAACGATGTGCGATCAGCTTGAGATATCTCGCGAAGCACTTCCTCGTTTTTTCACACGAATGTCAATGACACGACCATGGTATTTCGACAAGTGACCCAAGTACACCACATTTGAAGGCACTAGAGTTGGGCTATACAAAAATAAAGTTACAAAATGCTGGCTGTAACTACAGAACCATTCTCCACATAACCATACAGACACCAAAATTCGACCAATCACAGCACAGTACTGTGCTAGACTGTATAGGGTATCACTAGCCGCTTCCTTACAACCGCCATCACATCCATAGGCTCCTTCTTGTTGCCGCCACAACGGGCACGGATGGAATTGGATAGCAAGCATGAAAACTCAGCGAGTTGCAGTAGACGTGCTCGTCCCATATCATACCAGCAATGCTGCGAATGCCGTTATCACACTCCAACCCCCACCAATCACGCCTGCACCACTCGTTGCTGGCGGCGCTGGGAGCGCAGGAAGAGAACGGCAAGCAGGAGAGCGAGGAGCGAAGCGATGTAGGCGTTGGTGTCGTCCCTCAGGGCCGCCTTCAATGCCCCCGCCGTGGCCGGGCCGATCTCAGGCAACACATCCAATGCCTTGGACTGGAGGGGTTGAAGAGGGGAAGGGTGGGGAGAGAGGGGAGTGGGAAAGGGGCAGATGGGTGAGTGGAGCAAGGGTAGTAAAGCATAAAGCACACTCAAAGCAGTCCCTTCACAAGAGAGTAGAGCTCAAACTGCGTTCTCAGACAGAGTCCCAAAGGTTAGATCCCACGAGCCTTTATTGCACCAGAGATAGGGCTTACTTCATCAAGCCCACCTATTTCAAGTCCATAGAAGGCTAAAGAGACTCACCACAAGAGGGTAGTGCCCATACTGCATGCGCAGCTACAGGCCAAAGAGGGTCGTGGTCACAAGCCGAACGGCGCTAACTTACAGCCCACCTATTTCTAAAGCAGACTCACCACAAGAGGGTAGTGCCCATACTGCATGCGCAGCCAGAGGCCAACAGGGCCGTGCATACACCTATTGCATACACCAGCCAGAGGCCAACACGGCCAACAGAGCCATACTGCATGCACCTATTTGTAATGCAGACTCACCACAAGAGGGTAGTGGCCGTACTGCATGCGCAGCCACAGGCCGAAGAGGGCGATCTTGAGGCGTGTCAAAGCTCAACTTGTATCACGTCACGTGGCTAAGCTCACCACACTCTGAAGCAGACTCACCACAAGAGGGTAGTGGCCGTACTGCATGCGCAGCCAGAGGCCGAAGAGGGCGATTCTCACCGGCACCACTGCCCGGGGGAAGGCATCAAGAACCTGGGGTGGGGTGAGGGATGCAGAAGGAAAGGAGCGGGGGAGGGGAAAGATTTGATTTGGAAGGAGTTGGACTCCAGCTGGGCAGCCTCATGCCATGCTCGTGCATGAATCCCAGGTTGAACATGGCGTGTGCATGAATCCCAGGTTGAACATGGCGTGTGCACTGCCACTTGTACTCCCATATGCACATTTACACACACCTACCTACCTGGTCATAGAATCGTTTCGCTAGATGGAGATACAAACGATTCTCGTTTAGCCCGTGCCGTGCTCGTTTCACCTGGGTAAGCCCGTGCTGTGCTCGTGCATAAACTCCAGGTTGAACATGGCGTGTGCACTGCCACTTGTACTCCCATATGCACATTTACACACACCTACCCACCTGGTCATAGAATCGTTTCGCTAGATGGAGATACAAACGATTCTCGTTTAGCCCGTGCCGTGCTCGTTTCACCTGGGTAAGCCCGTGCTGTGCTCGTTTTACCTGGGTAAGCCCGTGCTGTGCTCGTGCATAAACCCCAGGTTGAACATGGCGCGTGCACTTCCCCTTATACTTCCACCCCAACCGTACCTGGTCGTAGAGCTGCTTAGCCAAATGCAGGTCTCTGGGCAGCCCCATGCCATGCTCGTGCATGAACGCCTTTTTTCCTTGCTCCCAGCCACACCAGGCACCAGGCACCATGCACCATGCACCATGCACCGTGGCACCATGCACCATGCACCATGCACCATGCACCATGCACCATGCACCATGCACCATGCACCATGGCACTGCCCCATACCTGGTCATAGAGCCGTTTGGCCAGATGCAGGTCTCTGGGTAAATCCATGCCGTGCTCGTGCATGAAGCCCAGGTTGAACACGGCGTGGGCACTTCCCCTTATGCGCCCCACCATGCTGCCCCTTATGCGCCCCACCATGCTGCCAATTCCACCATGCTCCCACCCACAAACATACCTGGTCATAGAATCGTTTGGCCAAATGCAGGTCTCTGGGCAGTCCCATGCCATGCTCGTGCATGAACCCCAGGTTGAACATGGCGTGTGCACTGCCCTTCTCCCTCGCCCTCCAGTACGCCTCTGCTGCTCGCTGCAGGTCCCGCGGCTGGCCCTGTGGGATGGGCGGGTGGGGTGACGATGATTGAACAACTTTGGAGTTGACTCAAAGTTCAAGTCGATGCAAAAGCCAGTCAGACAAGTGTGACTGAGCAAGCAAGGAATCCTTTCGCGTCAACTGACCCGGCCATAGAAGAAAGCATCACCCAGCAGCAATGCTGCCTACACGCTGCCCTGCTCTTCTGCTGCTGAGGCAGCTCTTTGTGATTGAGCAACAAATGTGAGCAAACAATCCTTCTTCTCAACTCAAGCCAGCAATCTCACTCACCCGGCCATAGAAGAAAGCATCACCCAGCAGCAATGCTGCCTATACGCTGCCCTGATCTTCTGCTGCTGAGGCAGCTCTTTGTGATTGAGCAACAAATGTGAGCAATCAATCCTTCTTCTCAACTCAAGCCAGCAATCTCACTCACCCGGCCATAGAAGAAAGCATCACCCAGCAGCAATGCTGCCTAAACGCTGCCCTGATCTTCTGCTGCTGAGGCAGCTCTTTGTGATTGAGCAACAAATGTGAGCAAACAATCCTTCTTCTCAACTCAAGCCAGCAATCTCACTCACCCGGCCATAGAAGAAAGCATCACCCAGCAGCAATGCTGCCTATACGTTGCCCTGATCTTCTGCTGCTGAGGCAGCTCTTTGTGATTGAGCAACAAATGTGAGCAAACAATCCTTCTTCTCAACTCAAGCCAGCAATCTCACTCACCCGGCCATAGAAGAAAGCATCACCCAGCAGCAATGCTGCCTACACGCTGCCCTGATCTTCTGCTGCTGAGGCAGCTCTCTGTGAGCGAGCAACAAATGTGAGCAAACAATCCCTCTTCTCAACTCAAGCCAGCAATCTCACTCACCCGGCCGTAGAAAAAGGCATCACCCAGCAGCAGCGCTGCCTGCCTGCACGCTGCCCTGCTCTGCTGCCAGCTGCCACAGGTGCAAGTGTGAGAAAGCAAGCATACCTAGCAGAGACTCACCCGGCCATAGAAGAAAGCATCCCCCAGCAGCAGCGCTGCCTGCACGCTGCCCTGATCTTCTGCCAGCTGAAGCAGCTCCCTCTATGCTCGAGCAAAATGTGTGAACAAGCAAGCATATAAGTAAGGACTCACTCGACCGTAGAAGAAGGCATCACCCAGCAGCAGTGCTGCCTGCACGCTGCCCTGCTCTGCTGCCAGCTGCCACAGTCGGTGCGACCTCTCATGCCTCTCCGCCTCACTGCACCGCCTCCAACCCCTCCTGCCGCTAGTGACACTATCCTTACTCCGCTCCTGCTGTTCCTTCTGTCCCTTCTGTTCATTCTGCTCCTGCTGCTCCTCCGCTCTGCCTCCCTCCCCTTGCACTACCCCACCGCCTTCTAATTCATCCCCTTGAGACGGTTCCCCACCTGTAGCACCGGCCTCTGCACCTCTTGACCCCTCTCCACCACTTGCTGACCCCTCTCCACCCACTGCGTTATTCTCATCGCTTGCAACCCCATCTGTAGCTTCCCTGTCCTTCTGAACCGCTTCAGGTGAAGCAGAGGAAGCAGAGGAAGATGAAGTGGCAGTGCTGGTGGCGGTGCTGCGAGGAGCGCCCACACACGCATTGTCCAGCACCGAGTCACCCACCACCTGCACGCAATGAACCATGGTGCAGAAGGGTTCGGATTGGTGCAATTGGGCGGTCAGCAAGAGGCTTAAGGAGCGCCCACACACGCATTGTCCAGCACCGAGTCACCAACCACCTGCACACGCATTGATGGTGCAGAAAGAAACGAATGGTGCAAGGGGACAGTTCGGATGGTGCAAGGGGACAGTGCGTTTACAGCAGATGGTGCATTGGAGTCTCACTGGTGGGACGGCTTTAGATGTGTTTTTTGAGGCGCCTCAAAAGATGTAGATGTGGGTTCCCTCTGGTGGGATCCATCCATCACTGGGGAACCCAACCCACCAGGGACGGGAACATGGGGGGGGGGAGTCTCACCTTATCTTATCCAGAAGCCAGGCGGCATTCCCCTGCGCCACTTCACACCCCAACTCGGCAGCTCTAGAATAGAACATCCACGACGTGGCCACATCACATGATGCAGGCAGGCTAGACGGTAGGGGGAGAGGACGAGGGAGAGGACTGAGAGAGGACTTAGGATTAGCAAGGGGGAAAAGGGGGAGGGGGTCTCACCTTATCTTATCCCGAAGCCAGGCGGCATTCCCCTGCGCCACTTCACACCCCAACTCGGCAGCTCTAGAATAGAACATCCACGACGTGGCCACATCACACGATGCAAAGTGATGAACGCACTTAGACAACTGAACAATGAGAGTGTGGTGGGGAGAGGAGAAAACACCCGCCTTATCCAGTAGCAAGACTGCGGTCCCCTGAGCCACTTCATTCCCCAAATCCGCTGCTCTCAAGTAGAGCATCAGTGACGTTCCCACATCGTACACAGCCAGCCAGGTGAAGTGGGAGATGAGAAGGACAAGGATAGGTGAGGGAGAAGGGAAAGGATTCTCACCTTATCCAGCAGCCAGGCGGCATTCCCCTGTGCCACTTCATACCCCAACTCCGCAGCTCTCGAGTAGAGAGCATCGACGACGTTCCCACCCACATCACAAGAAGCGGGCCAGGCCGCGGGGGAACGTGTAGAGACAACTGCATTCCCCCGAGAGTGTGGTGAGGTGAGGATAAAACGCCTACCTTATCCAGCAGCCAGGCGGCATTCCCCTGTGCCACTTCATACCCCAACTCCGCAGCTCTCGAGTAGAGCATCAGCGATGTGCCCACATCACAGGAAGCAGGCCAGGCGGACGGGGAGGAAGAGGAGGAGGAGGAGCGGAGGGAGGGGGGGGAGAGCGGGGAGGAGAGCGAGAAGGAGAAGGAGAGGGAGAAGGGAGAGGAGGAGGAGGCGGAGCGGGAGAGGGACCAGAGGGAGGGGCCTTGGGTGGATGACATGAAGCATGCGTGTGCCCACCGCAGCATGACCCCCCATGGCCCCCGCTCCGCCACCGCCTTTAGAAGGCGAGCGGCCTGGGAAGGAGGGGGGGGGGGAGGGGGAAGGAGGGGGGGGGGAGGGGGAAGGAGGGGGGGGGGAGGGGGAAGGAGGGAAAGGAGAACAAAGGGAGCACAGGAGGAAACAGAAGACAGCCAGTGGAATGGCTTTTGAGACGTCTCAAAAGCAGAAGACAGAAGAAATAAACATGAGTTGGGACCAGTGGAATGGGGGGACAGGGATGACAGCAGAGGGAACAGAGAGGGACCCGAGGGAGGGGCCGTGGGTGGATGACATGAAGCATGCGTGTGCCCACCGCAGCATGACCCCCCATGGCCCCCGCTCCGTCACTGCCTTGAGTAGCCGCGCCGCCTCGATGAGAGCGAGGGGCAGCATGACCCCCCATGGGCAGCATGACCCCCCATGGGCTCCGCTCCTGTATTTGTGCACCCATCTCACCATAACTACATTCTTGGGAACCCCCGTCCCAGTCAAGTGCATCTTGCCCATCTGATACATGGCGCCCACGTGCTGCCACCCACTCGCCCCCTTCCCCTCTTCTGATGTGCCTAACCCCACTCCCTTATCTCACCATGACAACGTTCTTGGGTACTCCCGTCCCTGTGAGGTGCATGTTGCCCATCTGGTACATGGCGCCCACGTGCTGCCCCTCCCCTCCACCGCCTGCTGCAGTAACTGCACCGTTACAGTCACATTCGTTATAACGACACGGACACACCGCACCCTTTCCCCCATCTCACCATGACCACATTCTTGGGTACTCCCGTCCCCGTGAGGTGCATCTTGCCTGTCCGATACACGGCGCCCACGTGCTCCCCCCCCCCCCTCCACCGCCTGCTGCAGGAACTGCACCGTTACTGTCGCGTTGCACCCTTCCCCCATCTCACCATAACCACGTTCTTGGGGACGCCTGTCCCTGTCAGATGCATTTTGACTTTTGAGACGTCTCAAGAGTTGTCCCTGTCAGATGCATCTTGCCCATCTGATACATGGCGCCCACGTGCTGCCCCTCCCCTCCACCGCCTGCTGCAGGAACTACAGCACTGCAATTAGTGCAAGAAATTCCTGTCTTTAGTCACACCCCGTCACAATCCCAACATACAGCCCCCCCAACTCACCATGACAACATTCTTCGGGACCCCAGTCCCTGTCAGATGCATCTTGCCCATCTGGTACATGGCGCCCACGTGCTGCCCCTCCACCGCCTGCTGCAGGAACCGCAGCGCCTTGCTGGGGTTGCGTCTCACGCCCTGCCCTCTAAGGTGGCTCATTCCCAGATTGTACAACGCGTCCACATCCCGGGTCTTCCGGGCAGCCGTGAGAAAGTTTTGCACCGCCTGGGAAGAGAAGAGGAGGACCATCCAAAAAGAAGTGAGATAGAGGGGTAAGAAAAGAGCAAACAAAGAGGAGGAAAGGGGGAGTGGCGGTAAGGAGAGGAATAAGCGCGCTCACAAGCCCATGGCACCAACTCAGACGTACCCCTTCAGAGAAATCTCAAATTCGACTCAAGGCTTACCTTGTGGTAGTCCTGAGGCACACCCCAGCCTCTTGGCGTGCAGACATCCCACTCCGTTCAGTGCGCTCATGAACCCATCCCACCGCATCCCACCGCATCGGTGGTGATAGTCACTGCATCACACACACCCACCTTGTGGTAGTCCTGAGGCACCCCCAGCCCTTTAGCGTGCAGGTATCCCACTCCGTTGAGCGCGCTCACGAGCCCGCGTGCATACGCCTTGTTGAACCACACCATTGCCTCCACGGGGTTGGCCTTGCAGCCCACACCGTGTGTGAGCATCTCGCCAAGAGTCAACATGGCCTGTTGCGGAGGGCGATTGTGTAAAGGGAGTTTTAAATGACGTAAGGTCACAAGAGGAGAGGGACCCGCGTGCATAGGCCTTGTGGAACCACGCCATTGCCTCCACGGGGGTTGCCTCCACCCCCACTCCGTGTGTGAGCATCTCACCCAGCGTCAGCATGGCCTGTGGGGGTAGTGAGTGAGAGGGGTGAACAGAGGGGAGGGAGAGGGGGTTAGGCAGAGGGTGAGTGAGAGAGCCCACGGACAGGACGAAATAGATATCGGCATCCTGTCCGTGGGCTCTCACGGAAACGGCATACATGATGTTGCTTGCAGGGTGTTTTTGAAAATTCTCTTTTTGAGGCGCCTCAAAAATCCCCTGCAACGAAATAGATTTTGGCATCCTGTCTGTGGGCTCTCACGGAAACGGCATACATGATGTCTTAACGGTTGCCATGAATGTTGCAGGGCATTTTTTAGAATTCAAAAAAAAAAAAAAAAAAAAAAAAAAACCATGAACAGGATGAAATAGATATTGGCACACATGATGTGATGCCATGGATGTCACATGAATTATGGTATTATGGTATGATGGCATGATGCCATGATGCCATGATGCCATGATGGTATGATGCCATGATGGTATGATGGTATGATGCCATGATGCCATGATGGTATGATGCCATGACGCCATGATGCAATGATGGTATGATGCCATGATGGTATGATGCCATCATGATGGTATGATGCTATGTAACGCCTTGCTGATTTATCCCCTCTCTCCTCTCTCCTCTCTCCTCTCTCCTCCCTGCAGCTCTCCTCCCTGCAGCTCTCCTCCCTGTCGTGTCCCCCACTCACATGCAGGTCGTCCATCTCAGCGGCTTTCTTCATCAGCCCAAACGCCCTCACGTGGTCCCGCGGCATGCCCCGCGCCCCCCAGTAGTAGAGCGTGCCCAGCGTGCGAATGGCCTCCACCGCTCCCCGTGATGCCTGCAACTCGATGAACTGGGGTGGGGAGGCGGAAGGAGGTATGGGGGGGGGGGGGGTAAAAGGGGGAGTTGGAATGGAATCCCGCCCCATGCCCCGCGCCGCGCACCCCACCATGCCAAGTGTGCCAAGCATGCCAAGCGTGCCAAGAGTGCCCAGCATGCTCAGCATGCGAATGGCCTCCACTGCTCTGCATGACGCCTGTACCTTGACGACACCAACACAACACCCTAGAATCCTTCACGAATCACAACCACTCAAAACCGTCGATTCCACTCACCTGAATGGCTTCATCCGCCTCTGCCCTGTGCCCTCTGCCCTGTGCCCTCTGCCCTGTGCCCTCTGCCCTGTGCCCTCTGCCCTGTGCCCTCTGCCCTGTGCCCTCTGCCCTGTGCCCTCTCCCCTGTGCCCTCTGCCCTGTGCCCTCTGCCCTGTGCCCTCTCGTCGCCTCCAGGCTCTCCTCCCCACCAGCGCTCAGATGCACTGTCTCTATCAGCGGCGCCTGCCCACCCTAACACACCCTACCAACCCCCACGGCCCCCACGGCCCCCACAACCCCCACAACGACTCAAACGTCACTGCCGTGCACTCACCTGAATGGTTTCATCCGCCTCTCCCCTGTGCCCTCTCGTCGCCTCCAAACTCTCCTCCCCTCCCGCGCTCAGATGCACCGTCTCTATCAGCGGCGCCTGCCCCGGGAGGCTGTTGACCGCCATTGACTTGGCTGCCACGTCAGCGTAAAGCGCCGCGGCGCGCTCGAACTCCTGCTGGCGGAGGTGCGAGAAGGCGAGGGCCATCTTGGAATGCACGCTGCCGCCATTGGCAGCAAACGTGTGGTGGAGAAACGCTTTCACCTGAAAGAGGAGGGTTTGGGAGGGGTAGGGAGGGGTTGCAAAGGGTAAAAAAGGGGTGCTGAGTTACCCCACATGAGACATCTCGCCCCCTCTACTACATGCCATCCCCTTCCACGCTCAAACTCCTGCTGGCGCAGGTGTGAGAAGGCGAGGGCCATCTTGGAGTGCACGCTGCCTCCATTCGCGGCAAACGTGTGGTGCAGAAACGCTTTCACCTGATTGGCGGAGATGGGGAGACGGGGAGGGATTGGGGGGGATGGGGAGGGGTAGCGAGGGGTAGGAAGGGATGCGGAGGGATTGGAGGTGCTGAGAAATCATGGGACATTTTGGACCCCTTCCCCCTCTTGCCTATCCGATCCCCATCCCCTCTTCACCAACCCCCCTTCACCTGGTTCAGCGAAACGCCGTATTCACTGGCATAAGGAACCCCAGCGCGGAGTGCGCATGGGGGGAGCCCTGTTCCGTGCCAACCCCCCATTCCCCTTTCCCCCCCCACACCCCTTCACCTGGTTCAGCGGAACTCCACACATCCGCTAGCGTGGAGAAATTCCAGCGCGGAGTGCGCGTAGGGGAAGTCCTGCTCCTCCCCACACCCCCTCCGCCTTCCACCCACAACCACCCCTCCGCCTTCCCCCCACAACCACCCCTCCGCCCCCCCTTCACCTGGTTCAGCGGAACTCCGTATCCGCTCGCGTGGAGGAACCCCAGCGCGGAGTGCGCGTGGGGGAATCCCTTTTCCGCGGAGCGCTCCAGCAGCAGCAGCGCCTTGGGGATATCCCGCGCCACTCCCCCTCGCCCCCCCGCGCCCACCAGCCGCTTCACCCCCAGCGCCCACAGCGCCTCCGCGTCCCCCTGCTCCGCGCGCCGGCGCACGTCCGCCAATGGCATCTCGACAGCTGTCCGCCACGATCCCGGATCCAACGGCTCCTGTTTATACTTCTCCACCAGCGGATCGTCCGCCATTGCCGCTAGCGCCGCCGCCGCCGCCGCTTCCGCCGCTGCCGCTGCCGATTCGGGCGATTTGACGGCTTTAATCGCCTCGCCTCGCTTAGGCTCGTCGCTATCCTTCGTCGCTTTCTTAGATCCTGCTGGGGTTCCTGCTTCTGCCGAATCTGCTCCCTCCCGCTTCGGATCATCCTCGCCGTCCGTTTCCTCCAGATCATCGTCATCGTCGTCCCAATCGTCGCCGCCCGTTTTAATCACGTACGTCTTGCCGTTCTTCCTGATGAATGTGATCTTAGCGGAGCGAGCGACGGTCGCGAAGAGCAGGAGTAGCACGAGAAGAAACACCGCGAGCGACAAGTACGACGAGCTCCGTCTCGTTCGCGAAACGCTGGTAACCAGACGAGCCATCGCCGACAGTCTTTACCCCACCAACGGCGAACCGCAAATTCAGACACTGCGACTGGTCCTCAGTCCCAGGATAATAAACTTTACAAGGACAGACGCATCAGGGCACTGTCACTCCTAGGAACATCAAAAATTGCCCCCACGAGAGCTCCGCTTCAGAACAATCCTCGCTCTCTTAGAAAAACACAGAACTTCCACGTGAGCTTCTACAGGAAGAGACCCTGTTTGGAAGCCATGGTGCATGGCGGAGTCGGGATTTGAAGGTGGACGGGTGCTGCCGAACTCCTAACTTCAGAAGGTCTCACACGGTACTCTGAGCTTGAGTCACCTTATCCTCCGATGCAGTACGGTAACCGTTCGAAATTGAACAAGCACGGATCGCAAATCGCGAGTCACTTGGAATCTGGTCGCACTGAGCCAGAAGGCGAAGAGCCAATTGACGGCAAGCAGACGGCCAGCGGTTGGAGGAATGATGTGGAAGAATGCAATGATTGGCCTAGAGTTGACGATGACTGCGAGAGTGGGAGTGGTGGACATGAAAGGTAATCTCATCTGCAAACAAAACAAAGCGTCTGTCTGAACCCGGAATCGAACCGGAGACCTCCAGTGTGTGAGACTGGCGTGATAACCGACTACACCATCCAGACATGTCTGAGAAGATTAAAAGCAAGTACTAGTAAATTGTTTTTTGCTCACGACCGCAACTTCCAGGAGCTAATCGTAGCAGTTCGTCACAGCAACAATGGCTTCCCCAATGCGCTCTCTCGCGTCAGCCTTCAGTCGCCGCCTCGTCGGCCCTCAAGCATCGGCTCTCTCGCTTCGAGGAGGCGCGGGAGCGCGACTCGGCTTCGGACGTCCACCCGCTTCCGAGGCACGTTCTTCTGCTTATCTCCCAAACTCGCCCAGACTCGCCCAGACTCGCCCAGACTCGCGCGTCTGTAAACCCCGTCTCCTTGAATTAACGTTCATGGCGCGACTTTTCAGTCGACTCTAAAGCCACCTCTGTCGCCGCAACAACCGTTGCATTCTATGGCGGACGGAAGTCTAGACGATCCCCGATGTCCGATGGCCGATGAGCGATGACTGATGATTGATTCCCGAAGACCGATCGCCGATAACCCGCGAATCATTCTTTCCGTGTCTCTATACCCGTCATTGTTCCTTCCGTGTCTCTATACCCGTCATTGTTCCTTCCGTGTCTCTATACCCGTCATTGTTCCTTCCGTGTCTCTATACCCGTCATTGTTCCTTCCGTGTCTCTATACCCGTCATGTTCCCTGAAAAAGTCTTCAATTATTCGGATCTTGCACTCGCGTTTCTTGTGAGGTGAGGGTGTTTTTGAGACGTCTCAAAAACACCCTCACCTCACCTCACGTGGTAAGTCTTCAATTATCCGGATCTTGCACTCGTGTTTCTTGACGCTTGGTCCCCTGGATCATCACGCGTCGCGTGTCGCCGTATTGCGGTGTCGCACGCAAGACAAGACTTCCAAAACCGTTTCATTCTCCTCCTCCCTCGCTCTTCCAACATTTTCCTCACCCTCACTAACAACTTTTCTCCCGGTGGTATCTTGTTCAGCGAATCCCCACTCTCTTCATTCCCGTGGTTCATTCCCGCCCGCCTCTTTCCCGTCATCGTCGCGCCCGCCCTACCTCTCTCCTTCCTGCCTCTCCCCCCCCCCTGCCTCTCCAACCCCGAGCGCTCACGGTCCCCCGAGCCTTCTCACAGCACATGCTCGTGTTTTTTGAGAATTCTCAAAAAACACGCGCTGTCCCTGCCTCTCCGTCCGCAGAGCAGCTACCAGAGACTTTTGAGGCGCCTCAAAAGCCTTCTCACAGCACATGCTCATCGTCCCTGCCTCTCCGTCCGCAGAGCAGCTACCAGAGAGCGATGAGCTGACGTGGTACCTCCTCTGTTGCATCTCCCGCTCCTTGCCTCTCCGCCCTCTCTCCTTGCAGCTACCAGAGAGCGATGAGCTGACGTGGTACGACGCCACGCCCAACCTCGACCCTTGATACCCCCTCTTTTTCAGCACACTCCCTTCCATCCCTTTCTGCCCACCTCCTCTGTTGCATCTCCCGCTCCTTGCCTCTCCGCCCTCTCTCCTTGCAGCTACCAGAGAGCGATGAGCTGACGTGGTACGACGGCACGCCCAACCCTGAGACGGCTACAGACACCATCCTGCCGAACCTGCCGTCTGTGAGTCGCCCCTGCCGTCTGTGAGTCTCCCCTGCCGTCTGTGAGTCTGCCCTGCCGTCTGTCCGTCTTCCCTTCCCCAACCCCATCTTTTGATCCGTCTCAAAAGACGGCACGCCCAACCCTGAGACGGCTACAGACACCATCCTACTGAACCTGCCGTCTGTGAGTCTCCCCTTCCCCAACCCCGTCTTTCAAGGCGCGTACAACCCCATATTTTGAGCCATCTCGAAAGACAGCATGCACAACCCCAAGCCTGCTACAGACGCCATCCCGCCGTCCCTGCTGTCTGTGAGTCGCCCCTGACGTCTGTGAGTCGCCCCTGCCGTCTGTGAATCGCCCCTGCCGTCTGTGAGTCGCCCCTGCCGTCTGTGAGTCGCCCCTGCCGTCTGTGAGTCGCCCCTGCCGTCTGTCCATCTTCCCTGCCATCTGTGCGCCCCTCTTGCCTGTCATCTGTCGTCCCATTTCCATCAATCCCCAATACTTCCGCCCTCTCCCCCCTCCCCTTTCCTCTCCTCTCTCCCCTCTCCTCTCACCTCTCCTCGTCCTCATCTCCATCAGACCACGGCGCTGCAGTGGCTAGCAGCAGGGCTGTCAGTGCTTGCCCTCGTGGGTCTTGCTGCAGTTGTCAACGACAAGCCCTCTCGAGTCCCCTGGCTTTGCCCTCCGTTTGGAACCATTGCCTCAATCTTTTTCCCCTCCGCTCTCCCTTCTCTCCTCTCTCCTCATACCAACCACCACAGACCACGGCACTGCAGTGGCTAGCAGCAGGACTCTCAGTGTTTGCCCTGGTGGGTCTTGCTGCAGTGGTCAACGACAAGCCCTCGCGAATCCCCTGGGTATGTGGCCCCGACCTTCCCACTCCAATTTTTGTGCCTATATTGCAATCTTCTTGTTGCTCTTCTTATTTTTCTTCGCTTCCGTCTTGCTATAAATCCCTGCCCTTTCCACCTCCTCCTGGCTTCTCGTGAATGAGGCTTTTGCGTTTCCCCTCACACTTCCCCACCCGCCCGTCTTACAGGCCGAGTTCCCGTACGACGACGGTCTTCCCGAGTGCACCAAAGCCAAGCTGCCCGCCTGACCACGCTCCGCGTCCCTTGCATGTCGACCCCCCTAACAAATATTCCTACCCTCAACCACCCACCCACCCACCCGCCCGTCTTACAGGCCCCCCATGAGTTCCCGTACGACGATGGTCTTCCCGACGCTTGACCACGCACCGCGTCCCTTGCATGTCGACCCCCCTTGGACACCAATCCTGTTTGACAACTTTTCCTACCCTCCATTACCCACCCACCCACCCGCCCGTCTTCCAGGCCCCCCGTGAGTTCCCGTACGACGACGGTCTTCCCGAGTGCACCAAAGACAAGCTGCCCGCCTGACTCCCCCCCAAGTTCCAACACAACACCAACTCCCGACACACCCACAAGGCTGACCACGCACGCACACACGCACTAGATCAAGCCTGCTACCACCATTTGGCCCGCCGCGCCGTCACTCCATCCACTAGTCTTGTCCAACAGCTTGTGAAATTGTTTCTGTTGACTGCCATAGATTAGGTCCTTTTTTTTGCTCTCCATTCAAGCTGCAATGGCAATGGTCAAACAGGATTGGTGTCCAAGAGTACTGTAGCTACGTATTTTTCTTGTAGTTGTATCACTGTATCCATGCAACTTCGTAAAGTTCTCAACACTACACTGTTAGATTGCTTAGGAAACATGTGCTTTGTGCTCCCATCAAAATGCACAAGAAAAAAATACATCTAAATGACAGTCTAAATAACACATCAACTACAGTACCATCGACGTTCAATAATGCTACCGGGCAAGGCAAAGGGCGTTCTTATGCCTCGAAGGGGGAAAAAACGACCACCGAGTTGTGACCTCCAAAGCCGAATGAGTTGGAAATGCCTGAAACGCCAAGTAGTCAGCGGGGAAGGTGGGAGGTAGCCAATAGAGGGGAGAGAGGGAGAGGGCAGGAGAGGAGTGGGGTTTAAGGGAGTGGAATGACATGATTCCAGTAGTGATACAAAGTGGATCAGATCAGATGAATCCGGGCGGAGTTTTGCAGTGACAAATGTATAGTGTACTCACCAACGTGCACTTTATGCTCCTTCTTGACATTCGCCACTGTGTCAAAGGTTACTGACTCCTCCAGGTCCTGTTACAAAGAAAAAAACAATCAAGGGAGCAAATACATGCATATATGAAATATAAATTTACATATATATACATACATACACATATATTGTTATCACAAAGATTTGGAAAGTTGGGTAAGACAAGTCTTCATGAAGACACTCGAAAACTCACGAAATCAACTCAGGCACTCACGAACTGGTTGATGGTGGGGTGTAGCCATCCCATCTCAATCGCCTTGATCACTGCGATCGCCTCTCGAGTCCTCCAGCACAGTGACGTGGGCTGGGATGCATGGTGCATCTCAAACAAATCAGGGCACGCAGCACTGGCAGCACGGAACGACTCACGAATTGGTTGATGGTCGGGTGCAGCCATCCCGTCTCAATCGCCTTGATCACTGCGATTGCCTCCAGTCCTCCGGCAGCGCCCAGACAGTGACCAATCATGGACTGCCACATGTACAGCGGGGATGACGTGGGAAGGACAGAAATACAGTCACTCACAGGTCAGCCTATCGACCTTCCTTCAAACCGAAACTGTGCCTCATACAAGTGTTTGCACCTAATAGGCTCCACAAAGCATACTCGCTTTAGTTTGCTTCACTGACTGTACTTCCACTGACATTGGTGCTATTGAGTTTGATTTTGCAGGTATCATTGAACACCTGCTTGATCGCATCCATACACCAACTATTTTCATACTCATTATGGAGTGTTCCACTAAACGCCCTCCCACTGACCTTGGTGCCGTTAGCCTTGATTTCGCTGGTATACTTCAAAACCTGCTTCATCCCATTCACCTCTGCCACATTCCTTCATACCCCATATATAATGCTGCACTGAGAATACTACTCACCTTGGTGCCATTGATCTCGCTGGTATCCTTGAACACCTTCTTGATCGCATTCACCTCTGCCATTCATATATACCCCTTATAGAATGCCTCGCTATACGTATACAGAGTGCTTTACTAACCTTGGTGCCATTGAGCTTGATCTCGCTGGTATCCTGGAACACCTTCTTGATCGCATTCACCTCCGCCACATCACCCACAATGGTGGACGTGGCATGGCAGTTGATGTAGTTCACCTGGGTAGGGACAGGGAGGTCGGGGAAGAAGAGGCGAGGAGGAGATGGGGAAAGGTGGACAGGTTCGTGCACATGATTCGGGGGCCCTTTAATGCAACAAGGCTTTTGAGACATCTCAAAAATGTTGAGACGTCTCAAAAATGTTGAGACGTCTCAAAGGTGGACAGGTTCGTGCACATGATTCAGGGCGGCCCTTTAATGCAACAAGGCTTTTGAGACGTCTCAAAAATGTTGAGACGTCTCAAAGGTGGACAGGTTCGTGCACATGATTCGGGGGCCCTCTAACGCAACAAGGCCACAAAGGAGAGGGAAGCACGGGGAGACAGGTGAGGAGGAAGACAGAACAAAAGGGACCTGACTCCACTAGGGAGACCCCTCCGTCAGCCAGCGCGTGAAGATACACGTGGACAAGCCAAGGCAGTCCTCACGCGGGTCGGACATATGGTGTGCATCGAGGAAAGGGGAACGGAGACTGTACCTCCTCGGGGGAGACCCCTCCATCAGCGAGAGCGTTGAGAATGCACGTGGACACGCCAAGGCCGTCCTCACGCGGGTCGGTCATGTGGTGTGCGTCGCACGTCACTGCGCCTCCCAGGTACTCCGCGTAGATGTGTGCTCCGCGCTTCTGGGCGCTCTCCAGGCTTTCCATCACCTGGCCATGGGAAGCGGGGAAACGGGGAACAAGGGGGAGGGTTGGGCTCAGTCGTCACGTGGTGCGCGTCGCACATCACTCCTCTCCACCTCCCAGGTGCTCCGCATAGATGTGTGCTCCGCGCTTCTGCACTGCACGCTCTTAAGACTCTCCATCACCTGCCGAAAAAGGGGGACGAGGAGCGTGGGGAGGGAAGGGGAGGAGGAGCGGAGGTGCACAGGACATGCTTCACTCACTGACACACTGACCCCCCCCAAGGTACTCCGCGTACAAGTGTGCTCCGCGCTTCTGAGCACTCTCCAGGCTGCTCTCCATCACCTGCCGAAGAGGGGAAGAAGGAGCGTGGGGGTAAAGGGGGCGGAGGAGGGGAGGTGCACGGGTCATGGTTCAATCACTGACTCACTATCCCTCGCAGGTACTCTGGTAGATGTGTGCTCCGCGCTTCTGGGCGTTCTACATGCTCTCCATCACCTGGAGTGGGGACGCGGGGGAACGGGGAACAAAGGGGGGGGACGGTCGGGGTCGGTATGTGGTGTGCATCGCACACAACTACCCCCTCGCAGGTACTCCGCGTAGATGTGTCCTCCGTGCTTCTGAGCGCTCTCCATCACCTGGGTGGGGTGGGAAGGGGTAGGGTAGGAGGAAGGAGGAGGGGGGGCGCACAGGATATAGGTCAGTAACGCACTGCGCCCCCAGGTGAATGTGCAGTTTTTTGAGACGTCTCAAAACACTTCTTCAAACACTCAGTAACACACTGCGCCCCCAGGTGAATGTGCAGTTTTTTGAGACGTCTCAAAACACTTCTTCAAACACTCAGTAACACACTGCGCCCCCAGGTGAATGTGCAGTTTTTTGAGACGTCTCAAAACACTTCTTCAAACACTCAGTAACACACTGCGCCCCCAGGTGAATGTGCAGTTTTTTGAGACGTCTCAAAACACTTCTTCAAACACTCAGTAACACACTGCGCCCCCAGGTGAATGTGCAGTTTTTTGAGACGTCTCAAAACACTTCTTCAAACACTCAGTAACACACTGCGCCCCCAGGTGAATGTGCAGTTTTTTGAGACGTCTCAAAACACTTCTTCAAACACTCAGTAACACACTGCGCCCCCAGGTGAATGTGCAGTTTTTTGAGACATCTCAAAACACTTCTTCAAACACTCAGTAACACACTGCGCCCCCAGGTGAATGTGCAGTTTTTTGAGACGTCTCAAAACACTTCTTCAAACACTCAGTAACACACTGCGCCCCCAGGTGAATGTGCAGTTTGGGGGTCGGGGAGTGAACATGGAAGGAAGAGCAAGTTTGGGGCCAGTGGAAACACGGTAATTTGGCGCGATGGGAAAAAGGGGATTTGGGGAAACAGTGGGAAAAGCTGGGGAGGGTTGGGAGTTTGAAAGAATTGGGAGTTGGGTTAGGGAGCGGGAGAGAGCATACCGGAGAGCACATCAGAAAGCACCGACTAACCCACCAGCAAGCCCCACCCAACAGAACGCCAGCTAACCAGGCCCCAAACAACTTACAAGCACGCCGGACCCCTCGCCCATGACGAAGCCCTCGCGCTGCTTGTCCCACGGCGCTGGGAGAGGGCCCAGCCCACCAGAGAGCCCACGAGCCCACCAGAAAGCCCAAAGAGCTTACCGATAAGCCACACGTAGCATGCACCACACCCGTTACACCCACCAGCACACCAGAGCCCTCGCCCATGACGAGCCCTCGCGCTGCTTGTCCCACGGCGCTGGGAGAGCGCCCACGAGAGAGCTTACCGGCCCGCCATGACCCACAATCCCAAGCACACCGCACCCGCCAGCACACCGCACCCACCACAATCACACCGCACCCACCAGCACACCGCACCCACCACAATCACAAGACACCCACCAGCACACCGCACCCACCACAATCACACGACACCCACCAGCACACCGCACCCACCACAATCACACGACACCCACCAGCACACCGCACCCACCACAATCACACGACACCCACCAGCACGCCGGAGCCCTCGCCCATGACGAAGCCCTCGCGCTGCTTGTCCCACGGCCGCGACGCCGTCTGCGGGGAGTCGTTGCGCTGGGAGAGCGCGCGGCACGCCACGAAGCCGCCCAGCCCGATGGGGATGATGGCCGCTTCAGTGCCGCCCGCCACGATGATGTCTGCCTCGCCCCTGGGAAGAGAAAGGGGGGGAGAGAGGGCAGCCGCGCACAAGGGAGGGAAAAATCAGGGAAAGGGTGAGATGGTTGGCAGGAGAAAGAGGCGATCAGCTAGTTGAACCAACAACCGAGTCCAGCCCGATGGGGATGGCGCCGGCCTCCGTGCCCCCTGTGACCATAATGTCCGCCTCGCCTCTAGAAAGAGTCCAGGCGGGGGAGGAGGGATGAAGGCGCGGCGCTTCAAGTTGAGCTGTTAAACCCTGAAACCTTGTGAGAGGCCCTCTAGAAAGAGTCCAGGCGGGGGAGGAGGGATGAAGGCGCGGCGCTTCAAGTTGAGCTGTTA